TGCGTACGATCGTAAACACCTAGCCTTCCCTGCACTCAAAACTGATTATGATAGCAGCAAGTACCTCTGAAACGTCGGAAAACTACCAGACTTCGCGACACAAGATCCCAGAACAAATAATCTTCATGCTCGCCGCCTTGAGAACCTCAAATATTACGAAAATCCTCATCCCCCTCTCACTCCCTTCGTGTCCGACACCCCCATGGTCCCCAGATCCTGGAGTGACAAACTAAATTCTTCACATTCATACATAAAAAGGGTAAAATTATTCTAGAATTTATGACAAGAGTTCGTGCGGACTTGGTAGCCTCCAAATCCCATGCAAAATTTCCTTTTTGAGAGTTGCGTTCTTCGGTGAGATCGTAGCAAACATTGGAAAAACATTTTACGACGTATTATTAAAAGTGACCTTGAATCAAATAACATTACCCATTTCAATTAGTAACGCTATATTGTTTAAATAAACTGGGAAGGAAGTGAGTTTAAGGAGTGATGTAATTGTTTCACAGACAACCGTCATGCAGTGTAATACAAATGTTTCGCGTGGAAAAAATTAATATGGCCTCTGCTCGTTTTCCAGGAATTATTTATTGCTTGGAAAGAAATTGTTCATGTTGTGATAACAATTCTTTGAATTGCCTTAAAAAGGTATATTGTCATGGTCACTAATTTAATGCATGCACTCAAAATGTATTTGTTTATCATGTTTAAAAGACTCCAGATAACAATAATATGAAGGCTTATACAAAGACAACCTCACATGTGCATTCCCATAAAGAAAAAATAAAAGTTTCTACTTACAAAACAAAATTATACGCACATTTTGAAGAAGGCGTGAAAGATTCATCCTTTTATTCAAACAATTCCCACGGTTTTATAGGTATTTATGTGTACCTCATAATTAGCCCACGTTTCCGAACTACTACGCGTTGTGACGTAGCAAATTCTTACAAGAAATATATTAAACTTTCTTCCTGAAACGTTCGAATTGACCTGACATTTTCTGGTAAACATTCTCTGTATCCATGAAAGAATTCTGAAGTTCGCATCTTTTAGTTACGATTACGTCCAACAGATCGCAGCTAGAGTCGATTGAGAAACTGAAAGCCCTCCTGTTCAAGTATAGACCGTTAACAATCGACGTAACTAGTAGTTTGAAGAAAATCACAATCATCACAGTTCCTATTCTCTATATGATTCCTTTATGATTCTTTGCCATGTTCTGAACATTGTATAAACCTTTGCCACCACGAAGTCCATTCTCGGTGAACATCGTCACGTCTGGAAGGAACAACATTTATTCTACTTTCATACGCAATTGTCGGAGGAAACAATTTTACTGGCGTATTTAATAACAAAGGACGAACAATAATACCCTTTATCCAATCCTTTTAGACTCTTACTGTTTCTTACACGTATATAACTAGCTTTTTGAGAAGCCAGCAGTCGCGGACAGCCGACAAGGGGTAATTTACCAGCTTGGGGGCAAATAACTTATCGCCGTAAAAGAATTACCCGACCATTTATGGAATCAGAACGTTCTTGTGTCTATCCGAGCTACATACGCAGCCAATCGTAACAAATTTATCATCAGTACTCTAAACTTCTTTTAATATTCATGGGGGTCTAACACTGTCTGAGTATCTTACTGCCAAACATTACCAATCTATGTTCCTGCATTAAAGCATGTTTGTTATCTTTACAAAAAAACATGAGGAACTTCATAACTAATTCGGCACACTACCCACAGACTTCTCTGCAAACAATTACATGTCAGGTGTCAGAATGAGATAGGTGGATGTTCCGAAAACCAGAATTCTTAAGCAGCATTTCAAATCTTTAACTTTCAGCCATGAAAGGACCGTTACTTTCATTTACGAGCAGACAGAAATAGGAAAAATAAATAAAAAATAAACAACAGGTGAAATAATATATTTCAAAAAAAAATGTTTTAGCCTATCTCGAGAAGAACAGCGTTAGGTATGAGAATAAACGTGACCGGTCCTGTCGACAAAGCCTTGTACACGTGTAGGAATCTGCCAAGTCACATTTCCTATAAACTCGCCTCACTATTTCATTCTCGTTTTTACGTTATTTCAAACTAAACTTTTATGGAGAATTAATAGAGCGAGTAAAGGCTTTGATTGAAGTGTATCTAGTCCACGGACTGTGCTAATCATTTAATACGTTTTAACAGCCGTGATCATGAATTAGTTCCTACAATCAACAATGGCAGAGCCAGTGTTCCGGTGTTGCTGCAACTCGTACTTCACAGCACACAGCTGCAGACCTTAAACAAAAACACAACGCCACGAAGACGTATCGAGAACTAACCCACTCTCCTTGAGAAGCTAACAGGACGCTCAGCTAATCGAGAAATTTCCCGTCTTTATGTTATCAAAAGATCCATTACAATACACACTCACAAAAAGTCAGATGACTCGAACGCACACCCTCACTTTAATATTATCCTCCTACATAGCCCAATGGAAAAAAAAAAGATCTTCAGGATTTGAGACAAAATCTGGTGGGCATTTCTCATCCTTCGTCAACTTCGTAACAGTCAAAAGCGCCATGGTTTGTTTTCCTTGTATTTCGTTACACAAATGGATAGATTGGGCTCAGGAATGGGGAGAGGGCGTGCTCTTGTGGACACGGTAATGAAGATGGAGAATTTCGTAATTGATTCTAAGAAATCTCTCAGCTTCGTGGAGACCGTTAAATGCTTTTTTTGGTGTGTGGGTAGTTACGCAAACACTGGAGCGTACGACAATAATACCTCAGCGCCATCTAATGTTTATTCTGGTAACTGATATCTTTAACGAACATCACACAAGATGGCACTGCTAGACGCTGGAATTCTTCAAGTAATGGAGGAGCCATCTACCGTTTGATTTCAAACTACAAGCATAACTCAAATAGTATGCAAATCAACATGGCGGCTGTGCAAAATCTATCGGCTAGTTATTTTGCCATTGATAATCCAACTAAGCGGTGAAATTTTATTTGCCGATAATCATAAACATGTCAACAAGTTTTATATGAAATTTATTTTGTAAGATAACATTTAAAAAAATACGGCAACAAAGAGATATTGCATATCCTTTGTATAAACTTTGAAACGCTAAAACACCCTCACAAATTATTCTAATTTATTTTATATTAATTTACGTCGAACAGGGTATACTTTTGGAGCTGCCGGAAAGATGTTTAATTCCGGATAATTTCTCAGATCCTGTGATTAATAAGAAAATAAAGAATTGTAATCCACTGTTGTTTTCAAGAGGGCGATGCCTCCAATAACCGCGTGATACTTTCCTGGAATGTAACGCCATCACAATGTTGAAATATGCATCTCTTTTTAAAATCTGTAATTCAAGATTCGACTACGTCCAAAACTAACTATTATCATAAGCGCTTACATGTACGTACGACGAGTTATAAGCAAAACTTGGGTGTTTCTAACTTATTAATTCTTCTATAACTCCTCTCTGTCTGATTTTAGGTCCGTTTAACGATGCTTTCTCAACTTGGTATGAGAAATTGCTAGACGCTTGTGAACAATAAATTGGTAATAAGCTACTGTGGCCTATTATAATTTAACACTAAAGAATTTTGGTGTATACGTCGAGGAAAAAATTATGAAGTAAGAATATTAGTCACGACTTCGCAACGTTGCTATATCTTCGTGGGCTTCATAAAGACGATAATATGCAATTAAAAGACATGAAAATAGCCTAAATGTTACGCCGTTTAACAGTACACTTCGATAAAACCCGTTTTAAAACCGTATATTCTAATGAAACGTGACTCAGTTTTGTACAGGGCTGTTGACAGATCATATCAAAGTAGCGGAAACTCTCCATATTTGTATTCGTAACTCATTTTAACAATGTAATGTAAACATTGGTCTTGTAAACCAAAAACAAGGCTCACGTTCGTATACTTTGGCATGGTGGTAATAATTAAACCTGTAGACTTATTTGAATAATGCACTTTGACACACTAAACGGTCATCAGGGAATTCGCGGTCTGACAACTGTTTCAGAAACTCTGATTTACAAACACGACCTATCACTGCATACAAGACAGAACGTTTCTTTGATTGATTTCCCCTTTTAAACACAGATTCTTCGAATTTTTTGCGGACATTCTCGAAACGTGTTCGGAAGGTTCATCGTCACAGTTAGACATGACTGCAGAGTACGACCTCCTCAAGGTCGTTCTGCAATGTTATGGTCCAACGGCCACAGCAACGCGTCTCAAAAACAACTGACAAGCGACGAAGCAAAATGAAGCCAACGACCGCGAAAATAAACCTGTTATCCTTTGTACTACAAATAAATTAATATTCTAGCATGTGTTAAAATCCACAGCGGTCACAGACCGAAAAGTTTAGCGCATCTGTAACACAAACACGTAGTCCTACATTCGGAAAGTATCGGTTTCTGTACAATTAGTTTTTTTTCCGGAATGGGGATGTAAACCCCACGCCCAACCCCCCAACCTGGAGGACCAGGCCTCCAAATTTCTATCCCTCGGATACAGGGCAGCCCAGTTTTACCCCCAGGCATCGGGTACCTCGGGCCCCTGAGGGTACATAATGGAAACAACATCAATAATGCAAAATCGACAATGAATCTACACGTAAACGAAAATTCACTGGTGACCCTAGCGGGATTCGAACCTACGATCGAAGTGCTGAGACTTATCCAAGACGTAAATTCCGTTAAGATCGACTTATTATTAATATATTCTTACATTTTAACAAAGACGTATTAGAAGTTCGTAACTGTTGGGCTAACCCAGACTTGAACTTGGCTTTTCCAAGTGTCGGACACGGCTCTGAGGTGTATTTTTCTGACGCGTGACCAACCACCCAGATTCCATTTCAATTCAGCTTTTCTAACTGCAACATTATCATCTTCAAACTGTACAAGAGCTTACCAACCTCTGGTTCATATCCGCGTGATCTCACATCTTTTTAATTCTCTTTCCAGATTCTTCGCAACAAACAACCTCTTCGTGGCGACCGTGACCTTCGTCGCTATAACAATGCCACGTCAGAGTTCATCTCTGCCAACAATGAGGGGCGATGCATCGTATCACCATCTCGTTCGAAGGGACGTCACATCCGATTATCGAGACGAAGACAGGTCAACAATGGCCGAGACACGTAACAGTCAACAATATCCACGCACCGACAAGTCTCTAGCCTTCTACGACTACTGGCAACCGCCTCATTTCACTGGAGGCTACGTGCCCGAGTTTCCTTTCAACGGCTACGCTGCTAGCGAAGACGCTAATGAGATCTTGGCCAGAACAGATCCCCTGGACAACATCATCCGCCCCAAGAACCCGATCCCATACCCTGACTCACCAATCTACTATATTCGTTTACCCCCCACCCCTTATGTTTTCGTTCCTGGCATGGGATACGTCAGTCAGCCACCGCCCCCCTCGCCTCTATCGTCGCAAGTCAGTCCTTTCATTAATTTACCAATAGACTTTATCGCTAATGGTAAACCAACCAATATATACCAATGGTCAGGGGCACCAACTATGGAGCCTGGAATAACAGAGTTAAATCGGCCCAGTCTTCCTTCTTATCCATACCCAAAACCCAAACCACCAGCGAAACCGGATTCAACAATTAATAACCTCAACAATGGACCTTACGTCTTCAACGGAAGGCCCAGTGACGTTTACGTTCTGAGAGATTCTGTTAATTCCTTATATTCTGATGCTCTACAGAATTTCTATCCTTAATTAGGTTTATAATGTGACCACGTAATTCCGACGTTTCGACCTACGCTGTTTTATTTATATTAATCCTCCTGCTAGTGCATTTTAACTGTGTTCTTGAAAACCAGAAATAATGAGCTTTAAAGGTTAAGAGATGGCTGGTCTGATCATTTCACCGATCTTTTACCAACAAATTCTGACCATACAAGACAATGGTCCTAAACGAGATATATCGTGTGTAACGTGAAAAATGTTACATACACTTATCAAGATAATTATTTAAAAAAGATACGAGTGACGAATGTTAAGTGTGAACAAAATTAAAATTAGTTTACACGCAGAGTAAGTTTAATACTCTACTCATAAAGAACGTTTTTAAAATAAGATAAAATATATTCCTATTTATATCAAATGATAGCGTAGATATAGAATTATATACACATGTTTATGTACTGTTCAGATGTGCAACTTTTGTGCTTGAAACACAAAAACGTAATTTTAAATGCAGACATGGAAGATATTATTAGTCGTAAAAACAGCATAACTGGCCAGAGACTTCTTCAAATCAGTTTAAATCGGCTTCTGTGACAACTGTGGTAATGAAGAATAATGATAATATTGAAAAACCGTTATCCACTAACTGAGGATAACAATGGCATCAGTACCACGTTCGAACAACAATGACACGTATTCAGTTGCATTGAACGTAAAATTCGGATGGTACATGTGATTTGACACACACTACAAGTATTAAGCAGAAGACGTTATGAAAAGTAATTACACATTCACTAGAAAAGTTAAAAATATTTTTTAGTTTAGAAGCTGAATAATGAAGATTTACATGTCCTATTTAACTCATTATCATCATATTATGCTTAAGAAGTATAAACAAGCAAAATTAAATTTTACGTAGCCTTAGTTTTGTACAACTAGCTTAAGTAAATAAATGTTATCAAATTATAATTAAAATTATTTATTAAGCGAAGTTTAATGAGAGTGGATTATCAGATTTCAAAACAATAAAATTAACCACGACAGTGAAACACTGATGCAATTTTTTTATAAGTATTCTATATAATTAAATATATTTATACTTGCTCTTTTAAATATGCGTAAATTAAGTTCATATTTATTAAACAAAGGCAGATTCTTCAATTTCATGTGTTGAGGCTTTTGGGAACAAACAAACAGTACCCTTAAGAAAACTGTAAACAGAGCGCTGTTACCCTGTAATTATTACATACAACTTTATTAATTGTATTTAAATGCGTGAAAGATTTATTAAAACGTATCCTTATGTGCAATACGACAACATGTATGATTCTCTTTGTGATATTTTCTAATAAAGATCCTTCGCGAAATGAGAAAGTGGGCCACACCCGGTCCGTAATCCATTCCTTCTTAATCCCTGATGTAACCTCTTCACGTGACACATTTTCATACAAACGCCATTCGTCAAAGTGAACTGAGTTTTGATCCACTGAATTTCAAAGATAAAAATGTATAAAATCAACTTGATCTTTACGGGAATAATCGGAGCTTCAAGCCGCGGCTGTTTTAACCTCGAGGAGAGAACCCACATTACGCACTAGATAAGGCACATAGTTAAAATATCTGTAGATAACTATGTGATTATGTTTCATGAATAATAAAGTAATTTCTGAGTGATAAATTGAAATGGATGTTGGAGGAAGTGGTCGTGGCATAATATTTTCTTGTAACGCCTGAGGAAAACCGCAAATGACTGATGACTGCCATAGTTATGATACTGCGGAAATTTTAATAATATCTTTGAAACATGAATAGAGAATTAATTACAGTATTTCAATTAACCTCGGGTATTCTAATGGGGAAAGAAGCCAGATAATCGGCCATATTGTCCTGTAACAACATATATGTTACCGTTAAAGTACGAAATTCCATTATTTCACGAAATACACAGCTAACCCATACATTAACTGAACGATTTACGTAAACAACATTATGCACTCCAACTAGTTACTTTACAGAATGCCTAGTTATTAAATTAAATAACTATTGAAGAACTCAATAAAATCTTCTCGGGAAATCAGCCGCGTTAACTGGTTACCGTAGCAAACCGACGTTTCGGGAACCAACTCTGTCCCCATCATCAAGGTTCTGATACAACTGGATACCTCGGAAGTCGCCTGTGTAACTACCTGCTCGGGACCAGTGCACGTGTCCGAACCCAGGCCCAAGGAGCTAGGGGGCGGAGTCAAGCGCTCGGTTTGTACGGCAAATCCTTTATTGAAGAACTGTCACAATAAGTAGTAAAATAATGTTTTCAACAGGTACGGGTTGGTTTTGGTTCTTCGCAATTTACCTACGTAAAATACACACCATAACCCACCATTTACATTATCTGCTCTCTATTAGTTATTCTATGGATTACCCAGTTAAACTGTAAAAACACGTTTAATTACATACTTGACTCCAACGTTCAGTTCACATATGAAAAAACTAGTCTATAAAATACGTACTTTGAATGTAACATATACGTCACACTGCAGGACATAGCTAACATTCCTACAGTCGTCCGAAATTTCTTATTACAATGGGCTTCGATGAACATTATGCTTCACTTACCGTGATTAGGCTACTTGAAGAAGAACCAAGATTCGTCAAAGACTGATGTATTGCGTTGTCGCTGGTCCCAGTACACCACAGCTCAAATCTGATATCAACATTTGGTTATGTTTTGTCTTTGTAACATTCCCTATACAAAAGATAATTTTATATCATCAGCTAACACTTCCACTTCGCATTCGTAAGCTAAACACAAACTATCGATACACAGATAAAATACACAAACACAGCAACACGTAGAACAAAATAATACTGTTCTTTACTAAAAAAAACTACTAAAGAACTTTCGCGTGATTGCCACACGACTTTCTCTGCTTTCCCATCTTGTCCCATCATGCCTTGTACAGGAAGAAGACGCGAGCATAGTAGGCGTATTATTCAGAGCTGCCAACTTACAACAAAAGTAACCGTTTAACGCAGAATTTTTATCCACGCCAGTACAGAACGTTTTTGGTTTGTAAATGAGGATAATGATATATAATTTCGTTACAGTTCGTGTGGGCAGACGACATGAGGAATTATTGTTGGCCAAACGGCATGACGAAAGAGGCATAACAATTATGCCAATTTGTGACTATGCTACCGTCGATGTTTCTAGATCCAATTACATTTTTTACACCTCGTCCCATTAAATTAAGTCCATTGTACAATATGAATGGACTCTTTCAACAAATGTTAGGAGACAGTCAAATTATATGGAAAGAATTGGATTTTGCGTACAAGAAGTTTGAAGACTTCAGTCTAAAAACATGCACAAGTACGTATATTTGCCAGTAACCTGCTCTCAGTAGTGCAATTCCACGGTGGTCTAGCGGTTAGAACGCTGACCTTGTAATCCTGGGGTCTCGGGTTCGATTCCCGGCTGTGCCCGAATTTATAACTTGTGTTGGGCAAGGCCGTGGTCTAGGCAACACGGAGTTTTCCTCCGTGGCATCCCAACAATTACTCCATTCACACACAGAAGAAGGCAATGGCAAACCACTTCTCGATCATCTGCCAAGAACGTATATGAACAGGTCCCAGTCCGAGAAAAGGATGGAAGGATCCTGTTCATATGGACCTGTCGTCAGACAGAACACTAAATAATAATAATAATAAATAAACATAAATACATAGAAGTAAATCTGATTCCACAGACAGGTTATCCTAAGGTTTCTCGTGGTTTTCCTCAATACCAAATGGGCCCCGGAGTCGGTCTGGACGTTGTGACATCCTTCTATGTCGGGAATCGAACTCCAGTCATGAAGCACGTAGCTTGCGGTTAAATAAACCACAGATGAATCAATAAATATTTATTATTTACTGTCCTTACGCTGACATAGCTTAAGTATAAAACTTGCTAATTAGGTTCGTGACTGCCTAATTACGATACGGTCATGGGATCAGAGCTTAAATGATTTCATTTCGGGAACACTGAGAACAGATAACTTCTCGTACTTGCTGTCGTGATTATTAGTAATGACTTTTTGAGCCTGTTCAAAAGTTTGTTTTCTCTCGTACAACATTTGTGTTCGCGGAAATTAAATTTCACATCCCCGAAGGCACCTTGAAAACGTGAGAACTGAACATGCTAAAGGTCAGACAGAACATTCCTCGAAGTTCACGCCTTCTCCTCTGAATGAAAGGTTGAGGTGACGAACAATCTAGGTTCAACAGGTCACTAAATTTGTAAGATATTACAGCCCGAACTGACACTGCAGGTCGTGACGAACACTAAACCATGTTCTGCAAACCACATCGCAACTTCAAATCTGCAACATCTGCCAGGTGACTCCAATTTATCATATCCTAAAGCCATCAGAGCATTTTATTCGTTTGGTCCTTTCCTTCCATCTGTTCTTTCTTCATTACATTTTATCGAATTCTGTTTCTTCTCCCTCTATTTTCTTCGTCAAATCTATTTGACAACTTCTTACAGACACTCGTATCAAATTTCGTCGAAATTCGTTCATTAATTTCTAAATTTGAACGTGGACGGACATACCACATGGGAAGGAAATGCATTGGCTCGCGTTTAGAATATTGGAAAATTACGACGTGCACTTTACAGATGGCTGGTACATCCCCTCATTATTTAAGTCTTCCAGTCCCCTATTATAACGTGAACAATGTCTTTCCAAGCTTGAAGCAAATCAATAATGGTGCATGCAGATTTGCCCACGGAATTACTACATCCTATTCACTCTGCACAATGAACAATTACTATTCGGGAATAAGACGGTTCTTCCTTCGCCATTGTCGGCCGGCGAAATGACAACACGAATTAACATCAACAACAAATGAACAAAGCACAGCGTAGAACAGTTCATTACCTGAGTCATGTTTCATTGTTACGAGATTTAACGATAATTTCTCAACTAGTGCAAACGTAATGTTAAATAATGAATATCAACGAATAAATATACGTCAGTGGAAAAAAGGCAGTTCCGAAACGAAGTCTTATCAACTGCATACTTTAATCTGCATAGAGTCGAATATTATAGTAATTGTTGATTATAAATTGGGTCACAGCCGCGGCATTTGCTACGAAAATTTATATCACGATGGTTTGTTTCAGGGCCGATTTTCAATTGTCGGAATCGAAAATATAATTCCCGTGCTAAAGTGGCCCAAGACCTCACGTGAACTGGACCGCCCAGCCACTGTACCTTAGTTCCTTTTCCATACAAACATTCTCAATTAAAAACAATGCATGTAATATGCCAGAATGTACTTCATTGCCACACCTGGAATGTAATCTCTAACCCTCCCCCCCATACACGCAATTCTATCGCTAGTTCAAGAAAGTCTTAATATAAACGATCTTAAAAGTGAATAACATAACTTACGAATATTACACAGTTTAAGTGTCGAGTTAAAGGCTGAAATCTGTTCTTTCGCTGTGGATCCACTGAGCTAGAAATAAATCCAAAGAGCGGACAGGGGATCCACTTGAATGCTTCGTTAACTATTCTGGAAACTGAAAGGCTTGGTGATTAAAGGCTTGTAAATGTGTGAATAATTTTCAGTAATGAAAGCAATAAATACTTCGTTCTACTATAGAGCTCTTAAAGTGTTGAATGGAATTAGTGTTAAAATCGTCCGTAACAGAAACCAGGAAAAAATATGGCTGCCTTTTAAGATCTTTAAATCAAAATCAAATACTGACAGAAGTTAGATCTGAAAATTATTTTCTGAATCGTTACGTTCAGTATTTTATTAGTACTCTGATACGACTTAAGTAGTAACAATCTACAAGGACATAAACAACATACTACCAATAATCTAAAACAAATTTTACTATATATTTACAGGAACGTTATAAAAATGTTAATTTCCTATAATAATATAGCAAATAAGGTGCTTGCAAATACAATGAAATTGTAAATCTAAATGCTACATATCTTGGTCACAAATCACAACTTAAATAAAGCATAATTCTCATTTTTTTTAAAAAAAAAATTGTTTACGTAATATTGGACGTCTTTGTTAAAGCGAAAAATGACGACACTCGATGACAATGAAATTCACGTCATTTACGGACTTATATTTACTGTTCCCTTCTTGTATAGTCATTTAGCATCAATGAAGCTATCGGATTGTTTCCAGATATCCCAAAAACACACATTATACCTCCTTTATTTTAGTATATATATTCTACCTTTATTGATAAGCTTATACATAAAAATATATACAGTATCTATGCATTTATTTTACAGCGAATAGAAATTAAAACTTAAAAGTTTTAAAATACGTAAACAAATTATGTAGTACGTATTACGATATTAGTGGGGAAACTATAATCAGATAACCTTTGCATGTTATTATATACGTGGTAAAACTATTTTAACTTTATCTATAATAAATTAATACAAAAAAAACAGTATACGATCTAAGTACGAGAAAACATTTGTTTGTTTGTTATTAATGTCACAGACTTATAATTACACAGTAAAATTCTGTTAGGTTAAAAGTTCTTTCCTGTATGCTCCTATGACCTCTAGGCCTTCCTACCTAATGAAAGGCCACTTTGTACCGATACTATAATGTAAATTAATACAGAAAAACTCTGTAGGATTCTGCGTCTTAGTCTCTTAAAACACGGAAAAAGTGTCTATAATTCTGTTATTCACACAAATACAGATTTAGGTTCATGAACGAGACAACCATAACTTGTTTCTGAGAACACTGCAAAAGTTCTCCACTCGGTTTAAATCCCTATAACAGGCCTACGTCTCGACTTATAATTAGGCCTACAAACACACTTAAACGTCACAATTATATTAACTTTTATCTGCTAAGATTTTTTTAAAACATAGAACGAAATTTCAGTACATGCCACCAAGAGTTACAAAATCATTTGTCATTCAAAATTAACTGAAACCTACAGTTAGATTAATCAAGAATTCTGATATTTCCTGTTGAAATAAAGACACGAACAGGACAGGTACAATCACCAGAATACGTTTCCCGTAATAAGAACGGAGTTCTTACCAGAAAACAGATAATCGAGCTGTTGTCCACGTAATTATAACATTCTTTTGCCTCCAAGCTGGCGTTCTCTCTCGTGTAAGGTACAGGAAATATGTGTGACGTCATATTTCCACTTACATGCTACGTCCATTACATTTATCGGGGGAGAGGTCAGAGTGCAAGTCACTGGTCTGCTGCCTCTGACGAAATGCCAGTCTGTCTAGGCATTACAAAAAGTTTCACTGCAAGTACAACAGTGGACTTCGGCGATACTCAGGATTAACCGAACCACTCTCGTACAACTTTCCGGTTGCTGGAAGCACCCGGAAAAGTTTAATGCGCCAGGAACTCTACCTGCACGTGAGCATAGAAAATAAAATCGAAGAATCAATTGTTCAGGGTTAACAGCCTTTGATGATACACGGGTTTCTTACTCTTTTCAATCACGTAAAACGACTGTGGTTTTCCATTTCCAGAGAAATATTTCTGAATCATCGTTTTGCGTTGATTGGCTGGTGCGTAGTACGAAACGGCTGGCTTCTCATTGTGATCGGATTTTCTATGTTGTTTCATCGGAGTAGATTTCTCACGTGCCTCGTTTCCTTTGCCGTGAGTCCAAGGAGACGTCTTCTGTATGGTATATATTTTACTGTCTTGGGCCTGAAGGTTCGAACCGACGGACTTGCGTCTTGAATTATTTGCAATCTTCTTCAGAACAGGGATATTCCAGTGATACACTCTTGCAGGTTTTCCATTAGCTCTGAAACTGACTGGGACTTTATTCACCGAATTATAAGCGTTTGAAATTTTCGTGGGTTTCAAATGCGAGTAGTAATACGGGTTTGGCGGGAGTTTTATGATGAACATGTGGGAGTCTTCTCTGTTGACGCCATGATGGCGGGACTCGGTAGCGAGTCGTTTCCTGTGATGGTTCATGGGCATTCTTCTACGAGACATCCCCAGCCGTGTCAACAGTTCGTGGTTCGCACTATTTGCTGACGTACACGTGGTGCTCACTATCAGCGTGCAGATAAGCAGTGTCAGAGGCACGAGACACGACAGCCTGCAAGAAAAAGCAATAATTGTTACAGACACATCGAAAGCCCTGGTATATTCCCTGACGCTGATATTAAAAAGCTGAACGATAAAGCAGTCCCTTAGCTTAAGTGACGATATTAAGGCGTATAATGGAAGAGGAGATATCTCCACGCATTCATAACCTCGGTACGTAAATTGTCAGTTCAGGCCCCTCGGCAATACCACTTGGACGGACCCCAGAGTTCCCAAGTTTGGAAATGACACTGTCAAGGAGAATAACAATAGCAAGTTCCGTTATAAAAAAAATAATTACGCCTTTGTTAATAACCTGGAAAATGAAACTAGAACACTGTAATTTAACTTGAAACATACACACACAATGCGCTGAGCCGTGAGAAACAGAGAGGAATAAATTGCTTTGACTCTACAATTGTTATCCATTAGTGGTTCATGCCTTACGAAAGACTAAAATAATCCCACGTAGGCTACACCTAAATATATGTCCACAGGCCATATACCAGTTAAAAGAGCCTGTTCATATCCGCGTTTTAGGCGCATCAGAAACTACTGAAATCTGCAAAAATTTTCGCCTGGAGGCTTCGTCACATCTACCAATCCGTCCCTACGGGATAAAAACTAGAGAACGACTGAGCGGATTATTTTTTAACTTGATTAGCTGAAATTAGTCGACAAATTCCAATTTGGGTTAAAATCTGACATAACAGGAATTTTACAAAACACCAACGTGCGTCTCTGCGCTCTGAAGTGACTGGGAAATTCTATAAGAGGGATCCCCAACAGCGGCCACGTGGAGGAACGTCACTAGCGTAATTCGAAAATATAAGAAAAGTTAAATTTTCGAAAACGCGCCAGACTTATTACGCAATGTGTACATTTCCTAACGCGAAACAATTTTCTGTTTCTAAAATGGCAACAGTGAATTTCTGAGAAAATTTAACAGCATTTATACGCCTACTACTGGGCACTACGAACAAAACCAGACTAGTAAACGAAATATCACAGCATATCGATTGGTGTTGCTGCTTCGTATTCCTGAGGTTGTGAGTTCGGAACTCGGCCTGGCGACCCTGGGATCTGTCGTAGTTTTCTCGAGCCCATGCAGGCGAACTGAGGGGCGATGTGTTTACAAGAAATCACGAAACACTCGTTTCACATCCTTTCTAGGTCAACATTCACCGTCATTCTAACATTCAATGTCGCAACTCATAAATCCACGTAATTCAAAAAAGATTCCTCACAGGAAAACGCAATAATAATAAATAAACATATTAGTAATTATTAATGTAATTCTGCTACGAGAAAAACGTTTAACTCCGTCATAAAATAAAATGTGGTTTATACGTGCATGGCCAACTATGTTTCCGTCTACGTATTTCGCCCAAGTAATTACATACGACGTCTCTATGAATTTTTCTCGGGAGCAGTCCTGACCTTTGTTCCAGTTTCTCAGAGCTGCCCTAGTCTATTCTTACAGTCTTCCTTCTTTACAGTATCTTCCCATATGAAATGAAAGCCATCAAATTAAGAACTCATTCCGGTACCAGCCACCCCCCGGAGATAGCCGTCGTCTTGACGACTTGACTTTACTTAAGCAAGCACGGCGAAGTTAGAGCAACAGTGACTTCAGATGATAATCAATTTCGTGTGAACTAACAGATAACAATTAAAATCAAGGCGAAATCAAAAACAACATTAAACGCGTGATAATAATATGTTCAGAATTTATCTTATTTTATCCGAGTCGAAATAAAAATTTACCAACTAAGAAATAAAATAATCGAACTACACTTTTTGTACGCATTTCTCATTTCCCATTCACAACGATCATATGCTCCTTCGTTTAATTAATTAAATACCGCGTACTCTCAATCTGATAGAGAAATATTTGGTGAAAGCGACCGCCCCGATGATGGAGGCAGTAAGCGCCTCCGAAACGTCGGACAATTCCTACCACAGTACACGATGCAACATTCCCGAAGACAGTCGTCTTCGTATGTGCCCCCGTGAGAACTTGAATTATACCGACAGCGCATAAAGCAGACATCAAACAGCCTACGATTTTTTTTAAATGAAATCATCGAGATTATTTCGATATTGTACGTTCCGGTGGACACGACCTCCTCATTACACGTTTACTGTACGCGAAGTAACCGATAAAATCCGTACTTCAAAATCTAGGAACGTTAGTGAACGTGCTTTATTCCACTTATGCAAAAAACCATCTGCTGCACAGACTGCCGAAAAACCTTGCGCGGGTTCTGGTTCACGTCCGTCATCATTTGACTGTCACGGAGAGCAGGGAGTGATCACCCGGCCCCCACTTACACGCTGTGCGAAAACAAAAGACACACAGACAACGAGGAACACCCTTCAGACACGCAAGTCAAAGGGATTTTAAAAAAAAGGATTAGCTGTTATTCTTCTGGGTTGCGAAGTCGCGTTTACTTGTAGGTGGGTAAAACGTTCCGATAGAACGCACTGCCTCCATCTTCTAGCTGCGTCTTTGCCCCACGTAAAAGTAATATCCAGTGTTTGGCCGAATGTCATTTCTGCAGTGCAAAACATGACATTCGGTTATTCACAAATAAATTGGACCATAGCTTTTGATTAATACCACAACCGTTAAGTTCCCCTTTAAATGACCGCCATATTGGGGTCCCTCCCCTGTGGTGATTCACGTGGTCTGTACACACATCGTAAACGGCGAGCCCTTTTAATAACTCGCCACAGGGGAATCTAAGAAAAGACATACATCACAGTTACGCGGGTCACATATCCCTTCTCTGAAGAAAACAATTTCATTTGAAGATGGCTGCCTTCTAAGTGGTTGCGCCGTGTAGTCTGGTAGAAGCTTTCCGACGTTTCGCCCTGATGATGGAAGCAGCAAGGACCACTGAAATTACAAGGCGCAACAACCCAGAAGACAGCGATCTAATTTCAAGGACCCGCGCTGATTCCTCGGAAAAGTATTAGCAATTACAAGATATTTTCCTTCCACAAGGTCGACACCCCCCGTGATGTCAACTAGGAAACCGACTTTGCTTTTTAAATGTCCAGCCTGGCTTCCATGTGACCTCCCACCCATTGTCAAGGTCGACCCACCGCCATTAAAGAAGAAAGTTGTCCCGCGTACATTCCTCGCAAACGCTGCCAGAGAACGCAGTCTCTGGTTCCTTGACTACCTGTCGCATGCCCACTTTAGCGCAAGAACAGATCAAGTCAATATCTCTCTAAATAAACATTTTGTCCTAATGTACAAACTTCGTGTATAAAACGTTTCTGGAACACCTGAATGTCTTTCACAAATTACAAAATGGCGCCATATATGGACGAGGGTCACCGACGAACTTTTTTATTTATTATTTAAAAAAAATCTTCATTTCAGCCCTGTAGATGGAAGCAGTATATTTCTCCGAAACGCTGCTATATGCCTACAAGCCCAGACGGCAACATCGACAACAAACAGATTGTGTGGCTGGTATAGTTCAGAAGTTAATCTTCCAGCCTGTTGACTTGTGTCAGCTGACCGCAGACCACTTTGTGGTCACTACACTCAGGAGTAGACATTTAAAACCTGTCCAGTGGCTCTTCGTGAGTAAAGAGAAAAAATCCTCAAGTTCCTTGACTCACCCAACAAACTCTGCAACGAACCAAGAATGTGAACAGAATTCACCATTTACCAGTGACTTGGACAGAAAAAGCTGATCGTCGACTATCCTACCGCTGATCATACATCTTAAGACGATAATCTCTGAAATTATCACCACGCATGCTGATAATTTACAGTTGGCAAACCTTCAATTATCTTTAGGAGTTTCATCTGACAACTAAAAACCGTGGAGGAAGACGCTTTTGAGTCAGACAAAGTAAATTTGGTCCCGTGTCTAAGGCGTACAGCGGACAGCGGAAGTAAAGCTCGTTGGAGGTACGTGACCTTCACGCTCCGGCAGGTTTACCCCGAGAAAGACCTTACAGCGCGGATCAGACAGGACGCCGACGGTCTAGTCCCCTGAACTACGGGTGAATATTTGAAAAAAAAATGACGCGAGATTTGAGGTTATCACAGTGTGAGACGCCAGTCAACATCACAGAAGACTGCAATATTCAAGGAAGTAACAGTTTATAAACTCTGTGTAGTTTCATTCCATACGAAGATAAATTTTGCAGAGGATATCTGATCTTCAGTTAATGCCTCACATGAATAAAACCACGTGTGTCTTTAAATGACGTACGTTCCAGTCGTAACGTAGCTTACTCGAGGGAAAACAAAAAAAAAGTTCAAACTTTGTTTACCCTAAATTTCGCTTCAGAAGTTGGGATACGCCAACCAACACAGTGACTAGCCTACCGACTGAAGGATCATTGTGTCCATACCCGGAAGAGATTGGGGTTGCAGGCGTGTTCGCAATGAAGTTATTTGTCTCTGCACAGTAAACTTGTGGACATATTCAAAATCGTTCAGCACGCACTTCACATGAAGGCCTGCAATTTTTCTTGTGCACGGAACACCACAAAAATCTACCGCTGGACTCTGTATATAGAGCCAGTTCAACCCAGTCCACACACACACTGCAACCTTAAAGATTAATTTTAATATTATCTCCCCATCTACACCTAGTTCTACCAGTAGGCCCTTTCCTTTAAGTTTCCTGTTCACAATTCCGAACGCGTTTTTCTTATCGTTCATGTTGTGACCCTCCTTGATTTGATTACCATAATAATTGAATTAATCGAACAGAACAAATGTAAGTCCTAAGATGGCTGCTGGATGTTTGTGCAACGAACTGCCTGTTTAATTCTAAAATAATTTCCTTCTTTCCTTTATCATGTGGGAAAAAAAACACCATCATAAGTGGTACATGTGTTTGTTCTATTCCTGTTTCTTCTAAATTATCTAATATGGCGATACAGCAGCTGTTGTGCATTCCAACCCCTACAACCCTCACGGCAAAAAAATAGTTCCCATACTTGAACGTCATCCAACCACAACAGGGAGTCGTGATT